GCAGAAGTGGGCGAGACGCGAGCCAATCCAAAGGGAATGAAAAACACCGCAATAAGGCACTGGCGCAAACGCCACGCCACGGCGTTATTGATTTTCGCACGGACTTTCGCTGTTGTTACCCCTTTTGGCCCATTTACTTTTTCTTTACGTCTGAAGACGAAGCGGGGCTCCAGCTTCGAAAATTCACCGAATAAAACCATCTTTCCCAAAGTGCTTTCTCTACATAAATATACTTCTTGGGATGCCGATTTTCCAATTTATATAAATACACTTTGGGAGTGCATACTGAGTGCCGATTTCCTACAGGAACACACAGTCCATATCATAGTATACTCTTTACGATTCTTATTTATTATGATTATCAGAATAAGCACTTTAGCATAAGCATGTACTCATAGCAGCAGTATCGTAGTCCTCGTTGTCCAACTCCTAGTAGAAACGGACACAGTCTTGGGAATAGAGTTGAGAGTGCGGAAACCAAGGCAATCCTTTATGTGCTCAGGGCCTCAAAAATGTGATAACTCGAAATAACATAAACCCAGATTTCACACTCCTTGTTCAGAACAAAAGGGGGTATGAACCCCGCGTTGATTTCAAATCAGCCTCACCTCTGACTAATAGTTGCATCAGAAAAATTACCAGTACTACTAAGACTCAGCTACATTGCTAGTCAGTAGTAGTAGAAATGGTAGTAGCCATATCAGTCTCGGCTTCCCTGAACCTGTCTTGACACTAAATGTGAGTGGGGGGTAGATAGTGCAGTAGTACCCGCGCAAAGTCTGCTGTCACTTAAGACTAAGTTAGGCGGTGTGTCTTGCCTGCATTGTAGTAAGCGACTTATCCTGATTCCCGGTCGGTGATGTCGACTCTGTCTTGCGCAAAAGGCTACTGTCACTTAAGACTAAGTTAGATAGTGTTTATGGCTTGCATTGGAGAAAGCGGCCAACGCCAGGTCCCGTTTTGTCTTCTTGATTCCGGGCATAGCTGAGGAGTGCGGTTGGCGCCAACTACCTCCGCTATCACTATAATCTACCTCCTGAGGCCATCACCTTCTGTACCAACCTGTTGGTGCACTTGGTGGACTTCATGGAAGTCGATGGTCGAACACACACACAGCCCTCATCAGCCAGCAACAATTGACCGCAAGTGCTACAGGTGGTGGTAGTGAGTCTTAAGTCAGAACTGGCAAAAGCGAATCCCGTAACCGATCGGTAAGACTACTCCCGTATTTAGGCTGCAACGCT